GTTTTGTACTGCTTTTATCAGAATTTTTTGGTAAAAATATATTTACGGCGAAAATTGGCGATTTTTGGAGGCAAATGGATACTGAGTTTGTGCAGTTCTTTGACTTGTTATTTTGGTAATATATTTACGGGTGCCCTTGGCGAAAATTGGTTTTTTGGCAGGACACGGATACCAAATTAGTGCAATTCTTTGACTTGTTATTTTGGCTTTGTGTAGCAATGATTTTTGTGCAAATAACTGACGCTACACAAAGCCAAAATAACAAGTCAAAGAATTGCACAAACTCAGTATCCATGCACACATCAACCTATTTTCACTTAGAAAAAAAATATATGAGAATTGCACAAACTTGGCATTGCACACTCCATTGACTTTGTTTATGTATACATCAATCTATTTTCACTTAAAAAGTCAAGGGAGTAGCCAACAAAAAATATATAATCTCAATAAACTAAAGGAAATTCATCTTAACACTACACAAAGGAAATATCCACTTACCTTATTCAGAAATTTCCCCATCTTAATCAAAAACAATTCCTTAACAGCATCCCAAAATTTCCCAAAATTATCTGAACTAGAATCTGTATACTAGCATCGCCACATAAATTCACAAAGATAAGAGTCAAAAATATCCTCCGATGTTCGACCATATGCATTTCCTTCCTACAAACAAGACACTTGAAATGGCTACTAAGTAAACCTTTATTTACACACCAGTCAATTAATTCTCTTTTGCCCTTTCATTCCAAATTGTACAGAAACTTCAAATTAACCTTACCACATTCAGCCTCTGAACCACAAAACAAGCAACGAACTTCCTAACCAACACACATCACAAGATTTCCCATCATTCGAATTCACTGCAATCATGCAACCAATTATGTCATAATAGGGTTTCCATAACACTAAATTACTCAGATTACCATAAATGAAACAACTTTGCCATAATACAAGGGACAACCTTAAATCTACTCTAATCATTCCCCCCCTCCCGAAAGTTTTTCAATCTTAAAGTTCATATTCACAGAAATGATTTTCTTATGCTTTACACAGTCTATGTGGTTTGTGATTGTTTTTCTTACCACGTTACTAAATATATTTTTTTTGCAAAACATAAAACTTGCCATGTTAGGTGTTCCTTTAACAAGTTGCAACTATGGACTTTACTGAGGATTGAGATTAGAATCTGCCCAATCTGGATTAAAAATGTTTTTGCATATATTTAAAAAAAAAAAAAAATTCAAGTACTTTTTACAGTACAAAGTCTGTAATTTGGAATCGTCGGGACTTCGGCGATCCCGGATTAAGGTTTTTTCTGGATTATAGATCATTAATTTAAATCTGGTACGATGGCATGCAGAAATTATACAATTAAAAATATGAAACCATAATTTATGAAATAAAGAGCAATTATGATCAAAGGGTATCAAAATTTACAAAAAAGAGCTTAATATTAATTTGTTTACTTTATTAAATATTTCTTTCAATGTAAGTTGTTTAAGTTGCCTCATTTTTGTGCTAATACTTTATCTTTAATTCTATAAACTGACATAATTTCTTGTTCAGTTACAAAAGTTCCACTGTTCAAGTCCTGTAATTGCTGTGTCGAGAATACAGACTAACTTGTCAATCGAAATTTTTTTGTTTTCAATAACCTCTCTGTCACTTTCTTCACTATCGGAAGCGGTATTTTCTGGATCTAGAACCATACTACAGATTTTGCTGTCTGTTATTTGATTGATGATAGGGGCATTGTCGTTGCAATGAAAAACTTCTGTTATATCATCTTCATTTATTACCGCTTATTCATATTTCTTTATGAAATCCAATAACTGGAAAATTTCAGCTTTAGTTTGCGATGTCCGAAAACCTTCAAATTTGCGGCTATCATCTTCGTCCTCACCATGAAATATGGTAGCTGGTCATAAATTATGGCAAGCATTTTTTAACGTATCTGGAGACACATTCTCCCACGATCTTGCAATGCTCCACTCAGCAGAATTTATGCTAAAAAATTTCAAAAAGTCTTGAATAGTCTTGCCATTTGTTTGAGAAGTTTAACATAGATTTTTAAAATGCTATTTTATATTTGCATTTCAGCGCGTGCACTATTCCCATATCCATAGGCTGAATGATAGACGTAGAATTTGAAGGGAAGAATAATACGGATACATTATTTTTCACTAAAACTTTAAGTGAAGTATGCACCAAACAGTTGTCAACAATCAGGACTATTTTTGAGTCATCAGGTAAACCAACCAAATTCAAATGTCGCCGAGCCTCGGGTATAAAATGATTTTCAAACCAATCATTCATCAATGCTTGTATCATTCATGCTCTTTTATTTGTGCGATATATAATGGGAAAATCGTTACTCCTTTAAATGCTCGAGGTCATGCATGTTTTCCGATTATGAAAAATTTGCACTTGTGCGTTCCTGCAGCATTTGCGCACGCTAAAATTGTTAGTGTCGTTTTGTTAGTCTAAAATTGCTCTAACAGTCTGCAAAAAATAATAAGCTGGATCCAATTAGAAGATTAAGGAACAGCGCAATCTGCAACATTAACTGAAATGCCTTAGAATCAGTAAAGATAATTTTAGCTTAGCTTATACCGTTCGTTATACATTAAAAGTGCATGGGTAAATGCATTACGCGCATACGTAAAGCATAAAAAAAATAATAATAATAAAAAAAAAAACTTTGTGGCTTTGGGGTCCAGATTGCAAACTTTGTACTGTATTTATTTAAATTTTGTGATGGTATATCATCATACTGAGAGAATTAGTTTCATGTACCACAGAAAATTGCCTGAAATTTGTATTATTAACTAATAATAATTAAATTTAGAAAGAAGAAGGCACATTAAAGTTATTCACTTAAAAACTGAAAAAGATTAAAAGTTGAAATATGATAATCAATGGTATTCTACCAAATATAGATACATTAAATGGTTAGCCTAGATAAGTGATTATTATTTTTTTAAAGTGTTAATGCAAAAGTGACAAATACAGCATTTATTAAAAATATATAAAAGATTTTCTTTTATACAATAATAGGCAGCGGGACAAGCAAAATCAGAAATTTTAGGAGGAGAAAAACTGATTACTTAATTTTACTACACGAAGTGTGTAAAAAAAGGGGGGCAAACACTATTATATTTAATATGTTTGCTTTTGAATTCGAGCATGAGTTCCATTCCTATTTATTCATTGAAAATGAAATTTTAAATGTGGATTATTTAAAAATCAAAACAACAACAACCAATAAATAAATAAATAAAACCAAGTTCAGAACAAATAAATATTTTTGCATTTACCAAACAAAATACATTTTCCTGCGTAATTGCAAAGTCCAATAATCAGGATATAGCTACACAGCTAATGATGTTAAATGCTTATCAGTTTAATTACAGTTTTTAAATAATGTTCAAAAATAAGATTCAAAAAACATCAATAGATTTCTTTTAATTTAAAAAATGCATTGCATTTATTCTTATGATTTTAAAAAACAAATATGAAAGAATGTTAAGTAGGTATTATTCTGTTATCGGACCAGAGTCGACACGGAATGTTTTGCTAAACTCGCCAAAAGATTGATTTCTACGAAGTAACCAATTTTTACTTTTAAAATTGTTACAATGTTTACATTTTAGAAAAGCAAAAGAACACATTTAAAAATTTGCAATGAGAATACAAATTATAAAGATCGTAATGGTCACTTTTTAAAAATTATTCTTGTACTTACCATGGGTTTGAAAATTTGAAATTTATCTAATGATGAAACATCTTCTATACAATTTTTTCAGGAATGAGGATTCATTCCTGAAAAAGTTCATGGGTGCTGGAAGAAAGTGCATGAGAAACCATAAAATGAAGTTCTACTTCAATTCAAATAAAGCAACGGAATGGAGATGTGAAGATTCAGATTTGAACATTTTTGCATTAACCATAAGCATAATTTTATAGATCTTGATACTAGTTATCATACTAAAACTTTTGAAAGGTTATGAGACAAAGGTCGAAAAAATTTTGAAATGTTGTGCAATGTAGCACTGAACTGACTTCAATGTAGCACTGAACAATTAGATTCCTATTTAAATTAATGTGGCTGTAGCAACATCCTAAAATGGAAATCTTTTCAGAACTTTTAAATGATATCCACAGTTTCATGCCTCCACATTAATCTTAATTCACTAAATTTCCTCACCAATTTTTTTTTTTTTTCCCTAATTCTTTGGTAAGTTGTTTAATTTACATTAAAACTTTCTAATTTTACAAATGTTATTTTTCTTCAATTAAACCGTATCATAAATATTTTTGTGATTATTTTTATGCTTCGAATTTTTTGCCAGATCATCAGCTCTTGGAGATATCTGAATCCAATCCCAGTAACAGAACAGTACTGTTAAGTAAAACATAATAATGTGTAAAATATTACAAAATTTCACTTCCCAGATTTTTTTAATTAGAGATGACAACAGAAAAACAGATTCTTTAAACCTAAACGCAGAATTTTCTTTTATTCAACATGCAGAGATTTCTTTTCTTCGCAAGAAAATACGAGCCACGTTCTCTGGATTCTGGAGGTCACTGAAAACCAAAGAAGCTGGAAACTTGCTTTGCCTTCCTAAAAGACAATCTAATAGGCAGTGAAAAAAAAAAAAAAAAAAAAAAAAAAAACTGGCTCAACATTAGTTGCCATAATGACACTTACACAATATATAAGTTGTCAAGGAAGTGATAAACTTTCAATGCACACGCAAAAATCACATTTATGGAAATTACTAAATGAAATTCCCTGACTTTACCAGGTAGTATGACAATTCTGGCATACTGTCTGGGCTTTTTGACTGTTTATTTTACGCTTTAATATATTTAAAAAGAAATGTAAAATTTATATTAAACATTATTACACAAGTGGTGAATACTATTCAAATATAATATGTAGTGAACAAAATTTCTAACTTTATAAGATGTAAAAAAATTTAGAATTTACTTACATCAGCTGGAACAAATACACAATTTTCACCAAATCTACGTGATACATTTTCCCCATTAGAAGTTTTCAAGTCACATAAGACAACTCTTGCACCTTGTTTAATAAATCTTTCAGCAGTTGCGAGACCAAATCCTGATGCACCACCAGTAACAAGAGCAACTAAACTCTAAAATATACAAAAAGACCTATTAAAATTTACATATTTCTAGATTTAATTAGAATAAATTCTGAAAATAAGCACATAATTTTACTTTATATTGACACAAAAACTCAATCAGTGTCACATGATGATACAAAATTGAATGCAGAAATGGTTGATATTTATTTACAAAAAAGCATTCACATGGAAAAAAAAAAAAATTACAAGAATAACAATTTACCATATATTTTGGTGTACAATGTGCACTTTTAATAAAAAAAAAATCAAGATCAAAATTTATGGGTGCACGTTATACGCTGGATATAAAAATAAGGAAAAGATGAGTATACAAAAATTAGATTTTACATGTGCCTAAATGCAATCTATTTAAAAGAGAAGACATACTTTATGAACTTTAACATTTTCATTATCTGATACTATACAAAGTTCATCACATTCATCTTCTGTTATATTTTCAGGCACATCATCGAATTCTATTTCAACATCACCATCATTATAACTCTTATCCATAAATAAATAATCATCTTCCATTCCATTTAGATTGCCAGATATAACAAATTTTTTTAAATGACTTTTGAATTATGTTAAGTTTAAATTCATTCTGTGCTTTTATTTACTCGCATACTATTTCTAGACTGGCGTGTTGCATTTGGCCTCTTCTTGTAAATGTTTTTTCACCCTTCTAACATCCACACATTCCACTGCCAATTTCAGTTTTCCTTGAGTGATTTATTGATACAGACATCTAAAGGCTGAATTAATGGCATTAAACCACCTGGAATAACTGCCATGTCTGCATTACACTCTTTCAATAATTTCATTGTATTAGCTAGTAGATGGGATCTGAACATGTCCCAAACTAAAAAACTTTCTGGATTCTTTAAGTAATAGGACCCTTTTGCCAAATAATTCTTATCCACAGTTTCATACAATTTTCATCAAACCATCCCTTCTAATGAACATGAATGATAGCATCATTTCGGGAATTACATTTCGGTATCATCTTTCACGGGTTTTAATATTGTACCGTCTGCTAAGCAGGAAAGCTCTATGGTAAAGTGAGATTTCTTGTGACCCTTTTTTTTTTTTTTTTTAAATCTGTTGTTAATACTGTTTTTTTTCACATCAATTGTTTTATTTCCCATCATACCACACATTACTATTGTTTCATCCATATTTCCAATATGTGACAGTAAATAATTTTTTTGACTTCATAGGTCCATAACATACTTCTGTACACTCATCAGTTTGTTCAAATCTTTTGGAAGCTTTTGCAAAACTTTCATTTTCTCTGACAGAATGACATTATTCCATGCCATAAATCAACTACACCAACTCAATGTTGCTTTAATGTTTTCACTTTTGTTTGTATTCTTTTTTGCCTACTTTAAGGCAAATAAACAAATGCTGTTTCCTGTTAAAATTAATCCATTCTGGTTATTTTCTAGGACCCAGTTCACAACACTTTTTTCTAGGATAAGCCATTTTGTTACTCCTTTATCTGAAGCACATTTACTCTTTGACACATTAAGTACAGCGATTTCATTTTTCTTCCACACATGTATAGAGCTTACACCAACACTAAATATAATTGCTGTAGCGAAACTTCCGGTTTCTTTTGCAAAGCGAATCATTTTGTGTTTGTTTCGTTTAGCAGAAGCCATATATACTACTAAAAGGAACTTAAGATCAACTGTATTTCAACTAAAGCAAATGTGATTTACCATAAATTTCAATATTCACTTCAAAAGACTACAAAGAAAGCACGACTTCTAATTCCACAAATTCATTCAGGTCAGAAGTGCATTCTTGCCCTAAATTATGTCCCCCAATTTCTCAAAACTCTAGAATAATATTCTTGTGCACATCTGCATTGAATACAGCCGACCCGAGCATTTCTCCCACACAATACTGTCCCCCTCATCGCTTGTCAAGTGTACCATTATTTGAAAGCATAGAAAATATCTTCGAATGAATTACTTCAAAAGATAAGAGCATCGCACATGTATCTGTCAGGTTGCTCATTATTTTATAAATTAAGGTTTCATATTTTTAATTTTATAATTTCTGCATGCCATCTTAACAGATTTAAACTGATGATCTATAATCCGGAAAAATCGATAAGTCCGGAACGGATTAAGACTTTTGACTGTATATGTAAACATGTACACATGGGTACAGCTTATTTTTTTATTATAAAGTAATAGTGCTACAGAAAAAAATGATGATAGGAAATTTTTTATTAATTAGTATTTTTATTACTGAAATAAGAACAAAAACCTGGCATTAGGGAATTCAGTTTTCCAAACAGTAGGTAGAACCTTGGCAAGATCTGTTAGAGGACCATGATCAGTAAATCGTTGTTTGTTTTGTTTTTTCATTTTTAATATATTTCGGTCCGTTTGGTTCTTTATTTTTCCATATTTATTTTGCCCTTAGGCTTTCAATATTATCCAAATATTTAATTCAGAAGCAAACACAAAAATCAACGTTGTTTTTCAAATTTCCCAGGGACAGTTCGATGGTTTTACCGAACCACCATCTCAGCGCAAAAGGCAAAAACGAAAGATAGGATAAAATTTCCGCTTTTGCAGTGAAGATGGTGGTTCGGTAAAACCCATCGAAACTAGTCCTGTGAAATTTGAAATATTAATGCTGATTTTTGTTGTTTGATTTCGAATTATTATTTTTGTTTTGGCCTGTTATTGTGTCCTTAATCCAAATATTCTCAAAATCTATTCATCGTGGAAGAGGATGTAGAGACACCATTGAAATATCTGCAGCTGACTTCTATTTGAATACGCCAGTTTTTGACCAATAAAGTTTGACTTCCTGATTTGAATTTGCTCCATGGTTTGTTCATTCCTTAATGAAAGTTCATAGATTTCTTTCTTTGCCTTTTTAATTTTTTTGTCATCCAAAAAAATTCAGGTTGGATCTACAAAGATTAAACCAGCAGGATCTTATCTTCTCTTTTCTTCACTGAAGAAATGATTCTTCTGCAATAAACCCTCCATTTTTCGAAAAAAATATTGCATTCTTCCAGTTGCCTCTGTTAATTCTTCAGATTGTGTTTGGTGGTTATATACATACAAAAGAAGAGTTCCAATTCTGTAAAATAATTCCAAGGGTTAGGGTTGGTACATCTAACATTCTGTCCCCTGTTAATTCTTCAGACTGTAGCTTTTTTGTGATTAATACAGTGTTGAAAGAAGAATTTCCAGTTCTGCAAGATTCCAGAGTCGTAGCTAGGGTTTCAGCGCCCAGGAACAACTGAAGATTTGGCCCCTAGCTACCAAGGATGGAAAACATTAATTCTAAAATGTCGTAACATCAGTTTGGTGCCCCTTGGATTCGCCGGGGGACAGATGCCCCCCTTGCCCCCCTCTAGCTACGCCCCGCAAGATCTTCCACAGTCTTTCGTTTAGTGAATATTATGGTATTTTACATCTTCTGAAAATTCTTAATCCTACAACCAAATTCATCAAATATGTACTTCTCCAATTGCGTTGCCCTTTCTTCTCGCTTCCTAAGAATGGCATCAATTTGGGAGTTCTTGCTACTTACCTAAAGAAACCAAGAGATAGCAACTGAATGAACCGTTTTAATCAAAATGGCAAATACATCTATCCTGCTACCTATATTTATTTACTAATATGTAAATTAAAAATAGAAAATAACTATTTATTAATGTATATAGTTTATAAATAAAAATATTAACCTCAGTTTGTCATTAATTTCTTTTTTCTATTCACTTTAATTTCATTTCAAATTCAAAGTGTTCAACAAAAACTGGAGTCGACATACTTTTTAGTGACTCTGACTCCTTTTACCCCAAAATCTACCCGACTCCGATTCCGACTCCACAGCCCTGATCACTTCTATAGTATAGCTGTCAACCTTGAAATATAAAAAACTAGGTTTTCTTGAGCCAAAAACCAGGTGTTTTGAGGTTTGGTTTAAATTCACATTATGAGACATGATTCAGATTATTCAATATTTATGATATGATTTTGATCTAAATTTTTATTTTCTTTGTCTAATATCATTTCTTAATTTTCCGAAAATTTTATACTGAAAAATCCTGAGTAGAAAGAAAGAAAACTTTAATTCAAAGTACTTTAAATATGATGAAAATAAAATTAGAAATTAACATACATAGTATTTGTAGTGAAAATCAAGGGGCAGAAATAATCTTAAAAGTACCAATTCCAAAGTAACAGACTATACTAAAAGCTGTTTAGCCAGTTCGAGAAGGACAAATAACAGAATCTTTACAGCTTGGTTTTCAATGAAGAGTAATTTATAATCAATGATAATGAAATCTAAAATTGCATAAAAAGATACAAGCCTACCGGATGAATCTTTAATTTTAATCAATACCTTCACCTTTAATTTCTCATGCTTTAAAACTTATGGAAACTGTTTAGAAATGTGTAAGATATTAGCTTCAGATTTAAATTTGAAAACAAAAGGCTTAATCCTAGTATACCGTACACACGGGATTTGGCTACTTTATGACGAGTAGTAAACGGGTCATTGAAGTGTTTGCGACAATTTTCAAAATCGTGCCAATGCCATATTATATAATAAGATTTTACCATTTGAAAATACTTCACTCATATTCAATCGTAAAGGGGGAAAAGCAACTAATTTTTTAAAGGCTGAAAATAAATTCTTTCATGGAATAATTTGTAAAATTTAAAGTGGAAAGTAATACTTATTTATATTTTAAAAGCAGATTTAAATACAGAGTTCGTACATATTTCTGAACATGGAAATTAAGTACTTTTTAGGGCATTTAAGGATTATTAATGAAAAAATTAAGACCTATGAGCTGCATTAAACATAAATTAATGAACATAATTATTAGCAAGTTAGAGAATAAAATCAACTTTATGAAATTTATCAAGTAGCATTAAATATTTTACACTTATTACAAGTACAAAAATGATAAATTGTTTGAAAGGTGCTGCTGATCAACTTCGTTAATAAAGAGTTGCTTCATATTCAAGTTCAAAGGCAAAATAAAATGAGTCAGCATAGATTTTTTTAGCATTAACCCTTTCAGGCACGCTACTTTTAAAGTCGGAGTTTTGATTTAAAAAAAAAAAATTTAAAAATAAAAAAAAAGTAGGCAGTCTAATTAGGCCTAGAGGAGTAACAAGTAAAATTTTGTGAGATTAGGCCACTTATCGTTTTAATTTAATTCTGTGGATGTGCCCCAAAGTGGACCGCTGATTGATAGAGCTTCGAAAGAGTGCTATCTTTTAAAACGAGCATTATACAAGAAACTAACCGATGAGATGCAGAAGAAACAAAGAATACAGCTCTGAGTTGTTTCTAGATTATTGTGAGCCCGGTCTGGGCGCAACCTAGGGTTCGCCATTTGATTTAGGCAGATTTAAAGGGAAAATTTTAAACTTAAATAAATAAGGAGAGATTGGCATAAGCCAAAAAATAAAACAAAGAAATTTCTTTTCAAAACAATTCTTTTTATACCCTAAAAAAAAAAAAAAACGGCAAATTTC